GACTGCGAGCTGGCGTCCTTCCCCCCGCGTCGCCAGCGCCGCCCAGCGTGCGGCCGAAGCGGCCAGTCGCGGAGGAGGTGTCCCGTCGTCGTCTTCGCAGCCGCTGCCGCGAGCGCAGGAGGAGGAGGAAGGCGGCGGCGACGAAGCCGACGAGGGCGCGACCGGCGGTGGCAACACCCGCTGGCCCAAGTTTCTCCGGTTCTGAGCATCTCGAGTGCTGAGCCTCGCATTTCAACGGACCCCATCCATCTCATCCCATCTCCTCTCACCACGGACCGTATCCAAGCCAATCGTCGTTGTTATCGTACGTAGACTTTTCTTGTTGCGCGCCTCGTTTCTAGGATCCAAGCCGCTTGTCTAGCATCGCTCCCTATCTCCTCGCCTCGCCCCCTCGCTTCCCTCCTTGCTCGCCCATGTCTGCCTTCGCTCGCCCACCTTTATCTGTATTTCTGTCTGTAGTCAGTGTGTCGACCGCGCTCCCGTTTGCTGCGCCAAAGCAAGAAGCCAGAGATTCGAGATGAAGATGGACTGAGCCCTCTCGCCGCCGCGCCTCGTGACGAAAGACGACGTCGAGTCGGTCGGATCTGGCCTGCTATCATTGTGGTGACTCGAGAGCGAGACTTTGATGCGCACCCCGCCGCCCGCCTTTGCGCTCCGCTCGCTGGCCTAGACGGGAGGGTGCTGGCACATGACCCTCGTCCCCCTTGTTTCTGCTGTGGCACTTCGGCGTGGCGTCGTGGTGGAGCATGCATGGGATAGCTAGGATGGTGGCATGATGGACGATGGGCCCAAGGAGCATGACATGGGGCCGGTGTCTTGGTCCGTGCGCGGATTGTCCAGATAGAGGGGCCGGCCGGCCCTGCTGCACGGGCATGCGTTGCTGAGAGGGTTTGTGCGTCACAGTGCTGGGCGTGTGTGCGGCGTCTCTCTACCTTGTGGCTGTTTCTGCGGGCAGGGCAGGCCGGTCTGCTTGACATCGGCGGGGCCTGGCGTCGCTCGAGGATCGGGTTGGGGTCGCTGGCGGGCCTCTGATTCCGGAGAGACCTCTAACCTCGTTGCCTCTCCTGTGTGTGTATGTGTGTGTGTGTCTGCTTGTCTCTGGCTGCTGCGCGGAAGAGCCGGGCAGGGTGAGCGAGGTGGAAAGCTGTCGTCGGTTGGGGAGCCGGGTGAGGCGTAGGCGGCGTAGGCCAGCGACGAATACGTGGATGCCAGCTGCAGGCAGGCAGGCAGGCAGGCAGGCGGGCAGCCCTCGGAGGGAATTAAATTGAATTTTCGACTGGGCCCTCCCCCCTCCACCTCCTGTCTCTCTGTGGGCGGTGGCGTGGCGGCGTGGCGGCGTGGCGGCGTGGCTGCGCTTTTTTGGCTGGCCCGTGGGGCGGGGCGACATGATCTGGCCTGGCGGGCACAGTGCAGGCGATACTCTGTAGGCGGGTTGGGCTGCACCTCGAGCGACCACCTGGCCACCTCTCTCTAGCTCCTTGCTTCTCTCTTGGCCACGACCCGCGTCGACATCTACCGCCGCCACCTTCACCTCGTCATTAGGCACACCGTACCCCCATCCCCGTCCACCGCTGCTCCCACAGCCTACAGCACGTCCCCATCTCCGCACTCGCACTCGCGCACAACCCGCTACCCCTCCTCCTCCTAGAGCCTCTCTTCCCATACACAGAGCACTCCCCCCGCGCTGCATCGACAACAGACCATGTCGTCCTCGCAGCAGCAGAGGGACGCTGCCCCCCCGCAGCCTCCTCTCTCGCCCCGTAGCCCCTTCACAAAGAACCAGGATGCAGACGGCTTCTACGACGAGCACGACGCAGACACCGCAAGCAGGGAACACTTCCGCTCCCTCGCCTCCCAGATGCGCAGGATGAGCGTAAACTCGAGCGCGGTATCCCACTCCGACGACAGCTTCGACATCCCCTCGGTCCCGACCGGATTCAACGCAAACGCCTACGACAACGGCGCTTCCACGCCAAAGCAAGACGCGCCCTCAACCACCGCCGCCCCCCTCGACATTCCCACGCCCGCCGGCAACCCGCTCCAGCCCGCAGGAGGCGCACGCACCGTCGCAAAGAACAACGACATCCCCGACCCGGACCAGGCCTACGGCGAGGACCAGGACAAGGCCACCATCCTCTCGGGCAGCTTCACAAAGGGCGCAGCCGCACCAAACGTCGACTCGGAAAAGCAGCGCCAGATGCAGCGCGCACGCGGCGTCGTCCGCACCTACAGCATGGGCCAGCAGAAGCGCAGGCCCAACAAGATGAACGACGACACCATCATCCGCGCACGCCGCCTCAGCCACGACGCCGTACACGAGGCGCCCCGCCGCTTCATCGTCGACGTCGAGGAGACGATGCGCCTCGTCCTCGAGCAGGAGGACACCGACGGCAACTTCCAGATCTGCATCACCGACAGCGGCCCAAAGGTCCTCTCGCTCGGCACCGCCACCAGCAACGGCTACAAGGGCTTCGACATCCGCGGCACCTATATGCTCTCCAATCTCCTCCAGGAGCTCGCCCTCGCCCGCGAGCACGGCCGCAAGCGCATCGTCCTTGACGAGGCCAGGCTCACCGAGAACCCCGTCGACCGCCTCTCGCGCATGATCAGCCAGAGCTTCTGGCACAACCTCACCCGCCGCATCGACGGCGACGGCCTCGACGCCATCCTCTCGGACCCAAAGAACCGCTCAAAGTCCCAGAACCCGCGCATCTATGTCCCCGCTTCCGAGACCGAGATGCTCGACTACTACCGCAAGGTCGCACACGACCGCCCCTCGCTCAACCTCTCGGTAGAGGCCCTGCCCCCCACCATCACCCCCGAGTTCACCCGCGACCTCAACGACAGGCCCGGCCTCCTCGCCCTCGCCATGCGCGACGACATCGACCCCTCGACCGGCGAAAAGCGCGGCCTCAAGGGCATCCCCTTCGTCGTGCCCGGCGCTCGCTTCAACGAGCTCTATAATTGGGACTCGTATTTTATCGCCCTAGGCCTCGTTGTCGACAACCTCGTCGACCTGGCCAAGGGCATCGTCGACCACTTTATCTTTGAGATCAAGCACTACGGCAAGATCCTCAACGGCAACCGCACCTACTACCTGATGCGCGCCCAGCCGCCGTTCCTGACCGACCTGGCGCTGCAGGTCTACTCGCGCCTCGACCCGGCCGACGATGCCGAGAACAAGGAGTGGCTACGCTCGGCCATCCGCGCCGCCATCAAAGAGTACCACACCGTGTGGATGAGCGAGCCGCGGTACGACGCCAAGACGCAGCTGTCGCGCTACCGCCCCGAGGGCCTCGGCGTGCCGCCCGAGACCGAGGCGTCGCACTTTACCCACGTCCTCCGTCCCTATGCCGAGAAGCACGGCTGCAGCGTCAACGAGTTCACCCGCAAGTACAACTTTGGCGAGGTCAAGGAGCCCGAGCTCGACCTCTACTTTATGCACGACCGCGCCGTCCGCGAGAGCGGCCACGACACGACCTACCGCTTCGAGAAGCGCTGCGCCGACCTGGCCACCATCGACCTCAACGCCCTGCTGTACAAGTACGAGGTCGACATCGCCACGGCCATCCGCGAGGTGTTTGACGACAGCCTCGAACTGGTCGACGACTTTACCCTCAACGGGCCGCTGCCGCCCTCGATGGCGGCGTCGGCGCCCGCCGGCGGCAAGCCCTCGCGCTCGACCGAGACGCCCCAGACGAGCGCCGAGTGGTTCGCCCGCGCCGCGCACCGCAAGGCCCAGGTGGACCGCTACTGCTGGAACGACGGCATGGGCCTCTACTACGACTACGACACCCGCACCGAGGAGCAGAGCGTGTACGAGAGCGTCACCGCCTTCTGGGCCATGTGGGCGGGCATGGCCAGCGAGGACCAGGCGGCCAAGCTCGTCCACCGCTCCCTCAAGCGCTTCGAGGTCCAGGGCGGCCTCGTCTCCGGCACAGAGGACTCGCGCGGCAAGATCTCCCTCGACCGTCCCAACCGCCAGTGGGACTATCCGTATGCGTGGCCGCCGCACAATGTGCTGGCGTGGGTCGGGCTGGAGCGGTACGGCTACCTCGAGGAGGCGCGGCGGCTGGCATACCGCTGGCTGTACATGATGACGGTGGCGTTTGTCGACTTTAACGGCACGGTGCCCGAGAAGTGAGTGCAGGCGTGGCCGCCAAAGAGGCCGGCGGACTGGGGTTGCTGACCTGCGGCCCATCTTGCCTGCCATTTTCAATCCCTCCCTGCCCCCAGGTTCGACGCCGTCAATCTGAGCCACATGGTCGACGCCGAGTACGGCAACCAGGGGCTCGACTTTGCGTTTGTGCCCAAGGAGGGCTTCGGGTGAGTTGGCTGGGGCTGGACGAGGGGCTGAATCGGGTGTCGTGTGTGCGCCGACGGTGGAGCTGACACCCTTCGGATCCGCCCTTTCGCCCCGTCATCTGACCCGACCGACAGATGGATGAATGCGAGCTACCAGGTGGGCCTGACGTTCCTCACGACGCACCAGAGGCGCGCCGTGGCGGCGCTGCAGCACCCGGACGACTTTTACGGCGTTCGGAGGTGATGCGCAGGGAGAGAGACGAGCTAGGGAGGATCAAGGAGGTCGTCGAAGATGAAGGAAAGACTACATGGCAGCAGCGTCGTTCGCCAGAGCCTACCGTGCCGTGCCCGCACCGACCCGAATCGAAGAACCGAACCAAGGAATCAAACCAGGAAGTCCTGGACCTCGCGACACGACTGGCCGGGCTCATGTGTGCATGTGGGGCGGTGGAGATCAGGGATCATTCAAGGTTGCGTCGGAAGCAAGGCGTGAAGGTACCGGTCCGACGGCGATGGCGACGGCGATGGCGACGGCGACGGGACCGGTACCGGGTGGGTGGGTTGGTTGATTGCCGAATGCCGTAGGTATGTACCGGTCAGTACGTACATTCCAGCGGAACCTGTCTACCTGTCTCTCTGTCGATCTTGGCCTCGTTCGGAGGACCCTAACGCCGCACCCGCACCCGCACCGCACCCGCACCGCACCGCACCGCATCGTATCGGACCGGATCGGATGGAAGAGCCATGCCCTCAGGGCGCGCTTGCTGGCTTGCTTGCCTGCCTGAGTCTCCATGGAGGGGGCGCAAAGCATCGCGTTGCGTGGCGTGGCGTGGATGTGCATGGAAGGACGCAATGGAAGGAAGGAAGGCTTAACGCCGATTCCCCGGGGGGCCGGGGCGGGGGTGTCGCTGCAACGTACAGTACTGCCACCTGCCAGTCCAGGCCAGGCCAGGCCAGGTCAGGCTGGTATGACACGGCGCTCCGCTCGTCGTGTCACGCTGCACGCATGCCTGGCTGCACGCCTGATTGCTTGCTTCCTCCACAGTAGCCTGCAACGAGGCAAAGAAGAGGGGTACACCGTTGCTCTGTCGCCGTTGCGAGCCGAAACGGCGCTGAAGGAAAGGCCGGCCTTGTCGTCGTTGGAATGACCACCAAGCAGATGATGGACACCTGTGAGCTCCCAAGATGTGGTGCGGGTTGGGTCACGAGCGAGAGGCGAAGATCCAAAAGCCGTTTGGGTACGCCAGGGCAGGCTAGGGCAAGGCAAAGGTGCCTGAAACACGCACACCGAGATCCGCCCCGCGCCCGAATAGAAGCTGCTGCTGCTGCTTGCTTTGGCTGAAATTGGCGGCGCTCGGCACAGAGACGCAGCGGGCGGGCTGGCGCTGGGCGCCGGGTTCTAGCCGCAGGCCGCGTCCCATGATGTAAGAGAAAGCGGCAACGAAGGACGGGGGAAGCCCGCCGGCCTGGCCTGGCCAGCCGGCCTGACCGTGGTGTCGATCTGGGTAAACCTGAAATTTGAGCTTGCCCGCTTCTCCTAGCCTATCCAACCGTCCGCCGCCGCGCCGTCCGTTGGCCGTCCCTCCGTCCGTCGGTCGTCGAAGGGGGGGGGGAGTGTAACGTGAAAAGGCCGGCAGACGTGGCAGGCACCGCATCGCCTGATCCTGTCGATCCTCTAACCGCCATTTCCTTGTCTTTTCTCCACCACCACCACCACCGACGATACCCCTCGCTCGCCCTCCCTTCACTCCAACCCGCAACGAGATATCCAGCCCGACATGGTGCAGTTCTACGACCTCAAGGCGCTCAAGCCCAACGAAGAGACCTACACCTTTGACCAGCTCAAGGGCAAGGTTGTCCTGATTGTCAACACGGCGTCAAAGTGAGTCGCCCCCCCCCCCTCTCTCCCCCCTGGGGCGCCGTTGTCGAGCAGCCCAGGTTAAGGCAAGCCAACGTAGTCGGATCTGACACCGACTTGTCGCCCCCTCCCCCCCTCGTCGCGATGGCCCAGGTGCGGATACACGCCCCAGTTTGCTGAGCTCGAGGAGCTCAACAAAAAGTACGCCGACCAGGGCCTCGTGGTGCTCGGATTCCCGTCCAACCAGTTTGCATCCCAAGATCCGGGAAACAATGACGAGATTGTCACCTTCTGCCAGAGGGTACGTTGCCCCTCCCTGCCCTGCCCTGCCCTGCCCTGCCCTCCCCTCTCTCCCTTCTTTCGTGTTGCCCCAACTCACGTCCCTCTCCTCTCCCTCTCCTTGACCGTATTCGACGTGCGCGCAGAACTACGGCGTCTCGTTCCCAATGATGGCCAAGTCGGACGTCAACGGGAGCAACACCAACGAGGTGTTTAGCTTCCTCAAGTCGGCCAAGAAGGGCATCCTGGGCACCGAGATGATCAAGTGGAACTTTACCAAGTTCCTCGTCGACAAGCAGGGCAACGTCGTCGAGCGCTACGGCTCCAACACCAAGCCCAGCGCCATTGCCGAGACCATCGAGAAGCTCCTCAAGCAGTGAGACCAGAGGGCCGGCTGGGGGCGAGGAACTTGACCGCCCCATTTCCCCCCGAGCGAACGAGCGAACGTGGGACAGGGATGATGTGAGGAGGCGGCTGGCGGCGGAATGTGTTCGTTTGGACCCGTTGAGCTCCGGCGCAATGCATCTGTATTCTTGCTGTGCACGAACGACTGGTGTGGCCCGGACCCAAGAGTCCCGCCTGACCTTGGCAGGACGCCGTGAGCGGGAAGAAACGGCTACAGCCATGATGGTCCGTCGTTGCCTGGCCTGACTGCCTTACCTGGCGGGACGGGCCGAGGTGGGCCGATTTTCAACGCCAAGCAGCGGGCCCAACCTCCACTTCTTTTTTCTTCTCACCTTGGCCCACCTGGCCCACCCGCCCAACCCGCCTTGGTCCAAGCAAGGCCATGGACGGAACCTGTAAACCAACCCTCGCCTGTCGCCCCTGTCCGGCAGCAAGGAGATGCGACGCCAACACAGAAGACCACAGCATGGCTCTGCAGCTGCGTGGCAGCCCAGCAGGAACGAAAGATCGACGCCGGTATGGCGACGGAGATATGCTGGTTGCAAGACGGGATGCTGCTGCTGCCGCAGCTCGATGCGACAATGACATGACACGGACGGGGGACACAAATCTGCCTCTACCCCGCACTTCAGGCCTGGACCGACATCTTCTCGACGCCATTGGTGACGGCCTCGGCCGCCTTGTCGCCGTTGGCCTTGCCCTCGCCCCGGTCCTGATCGTCGCCGTCGCCATCGTCGTCGCCGCCGTCCTCGTCGTCCGACTGTCGGCCCTGCTCCCAGTCCTTGGTAAAGTATTGCTGCATGTCGAACTGTCGTCGTCAAAGGGGGAAATTGAAAGGAGCGCAAAGGAAGCCGTGCGGCGTCAGTCGACCACGAATCCAAGAGAGGGTGGGGGGGCCGCACGAAGGGGGGCCTCGGCAACCACTCACCTCTCCGTCCCCGTCGCCGTCCTCGTCGTCGACAAACATGTCCGGGTTGAGGGTAAACATTTCCCTTCCGCTGAGGCCCGCCATCTTGTTGGCCTGCGCCTGCGCCGCCTTCTTGGCCTTGAGCATGTCCTCCTCGGCCGCCTTTTTGTCCACCCGCTCCTTTTTCCACTTGGAAAACGTCTCGGCCGTCACCGGCGTCAGGTTCGACCCCAGCTTGTGCCGCTCCGTCTCGAGGAAGTCTTCGAGCGAAATCTCGTTGGCCTTTTCCAGCTCCTCGAGCTCCTTCTTCTGCGACTTGAGAACTGAGCGGCAGCGGCGGAATTCGGTAGAGCAGCGTTTTGCTCCAAAGCGGGGGCACCGTCAGCTCCACGAACGCAGTCCTGCATGGAAGCAGACGGGCAACCGGGCGCCGCGGACCTCCCTCGACCGCACTCACCGAAACCTGGCGGCAGCCGGTGCCGGTACATGCACTTTTCGCCGCCGTTGGGGCACTCCCAGAACCATCCGTACTTGCCGTCCTCGACGGCCTGGAGGAAGAACTTGCACACCTTGTCGGTGGTGCTCTTTGGGTTGCCGTGCTTGCTCATGACGACCTGGCCCAGCTTCTCGAGGTCCCACTTGTCCATCGTGTCGTTCTTCTTGGCGTCGTCGCCCGCCTCTCTCGTGTCCGTGTACAGGTCCTTTTTCTCGACCTTGCGCCCGGCGTCGAGCGAGTGCCCGTACTTGCAGCGCGAGCCCTTGTCGCACTTGCCCGCCTTCCAAAAGGCGCAGGTGACAGTCTTGGGGTCGACGCCGAACGGCACCTTTGGCTGCACAATGGAAAACATGGGGTCGCTCGCCAGCAGCTTCGCCGCCTCGGCCGCCGCCTTTTTCTCGGCCTGCTTTTGCTTCTCCTTTGCCAGCTGCTCTTTCGACTTGCCCGCCTGCTGCTGCTGCTGCTGGATCATCTGCACCTGCTTCTGCGCCTTGCCTCCCTTTTTGTTCTTCATGCCGAACGTCTGCGGGGGCGAATCAGGTAGAGGCGGAGGAGGGGGAGCATCAGCAGGCCTGCGCACGGAGAGGCATGGCTGGACAAGATGAGCACAGTGAAGACCCGCGACAACGCACCTTGTCAACGACGACCTTCTGGCCGCCGCCCTGGGCCTTCTTTGGTGGCATCTTGGGCGGGCCTGCTATATATGGGTTGGCGGAGCGGTTGGTCTGGCGAGCGCCGGCGGGCCAAGAAGCAGCGGGGCACAGTCTTCGTGCGGTCAGAGCCCCGTTTGCGTGTGTACGCTTGGAGGTGCGGTCGGGTCGTGTGGCGAGAGGTGGCCAAGCTCAAAAGTCCGTCGGTCAGTCGAGCTAGCTATGGCGCTGTGGCTGTGGCGGTGCTCAAGGTGCTGTGCTGTTCAGTCGCAGTGCAGGTGACGAGAGGGCCAGGAAGAAGCAGTGTGGCGGTCGGAATGATGATGACGGTGGTGGTGGTGATGGTGGCGAGGACGAGGTGGGTCGGAAGCATCATCGTGCGCTGCCCTGCCCTGACAAGCCGGGAGCAGCGGGCCATGATCACGAGGAGGGCGCTCGCTCGCTCGCTGTCTCTTCGCCGCTGATTTTTTGGAAGCGGGTCGAAGCATTCAAATGGCACTACAAAATCGGCGCGGGCGGTTGACTTGAAAAATTTTCGTGGGCCATTACAGATGCCGCCCACTCACTTCAACCCTCGAGGCCCGTCACCGTGCAGCGCCCCGCTGCCGTGCGGCATGATCACCTCCAAGGCGCGACCCAACTATCAGTCTGTGACGACTGTCCCTTCGCTGCCACCTCTCCCGGCTTCGCCATCCACCCCCGCACCCTCGCCATCGCCGACATGGCTCTGCATCGCCGTCTCCGGTCCGAGCCGTCCCACTACATCGCCAAGCCGCTTTGCAGTTCGCGCCGTCTGCGCTCGGCCTCTACCAGCGCCCTCTTCAAGGTCATGATGTCCCAGGGCGTGTCTTCCGGTCCATAGGGCTCCACCGGGCGCCGATAGGTGATGGCGCGGAGGGCGAGGCAGTCGGCCCCGCTGCGCTCGACCTCGCTCCTGTAGAGCGGGAAGACGACGCCGAGCTCCCAGTTGGACGTCGACATGGTCGGTGCCGTCTGCCTGCCGCTGATGGTGCCGTGCGCCGCCTTCGTAAAGTTGGAGCTGCCCAAGTACGTCCAGCCGATGGGCCGTTCTGCCGTGCTGCTGCCGCCGCTACCGCCGCCGGCGCTGCCGCTGCTTCGGGCCGTCGAAGAGCCTGCGCTGCTGCCACCCTCCTTGAGCGTTTGTCCATCGCGGAAGGCTTGGTCGATAACATCCTGTGCCGACGGCAAGAAGGCGAGCAACGATTTGGCGTGCATGAGCAGCTCGCCGCGCCGACTGCGCGGCTGGTGGTAGAGTGCCTTGAACTCGGACGCGGCCCATGTATCCGCCTTGCCAAAGAACGTCCCGCCGCCTGCGATGCCGGATGCCGAGCCCTCCTCGACGTAGCGCTGCGTGGGGAACAGGATCTTGATAGGCGGCAAGGCCTGCTTGGCATCCTGCGTGCTGAGCGGCAGGACACCTCGCGGGTCGATGCCCGAGGCGATCAGCTCGAACTGGTGGAGCCACTTTCGGTTGTACGTTGCCAGCGATGAGCCCTGCGCTTCGATCAGGACGCCTCCCTTCTCCAGAGGCAAGCCCAGATCTCTGACGACCTTGCCGAGCCTGCTCAGGCCTTGGACCTCCATCGAGTCCCAGCCCGCGAGGGGACCCGACTGGGGCCAGCTTGCGACGATCCTTGCAGCCGCCTTGGAGAAGTCGGTGCGAGCGAGCGTGGTCCAGATCGGGTGGCTCTGCGGTAGGACGCCGAAGCTGCGAAGGACGCGGCCGAGCTGATCCTCGAAGTCGTTGGTCGATGGCCGCCCCGCGGTCGGCGGTGCTTCCGCTCGCGCTCCGACCGAGCGCAGCGGAAAGTCTTGGATGAAGGCGGTGTTCTCGCTCGTCTCCCAGTCCATGGCGTTGAGGTTCGCGGAGAGGATGGCGACGCGGACGAAGTCGGCGTGCTCGAGCACAAGGAGCTTGACATGCTGTGTCAGGGGACCTCCCTTTGGAAGCCGCGGCACGGCCCAGGTCCAGCCCGGGATATCCAGGCTACCAGGGATGCGACTGATTGGATAAAGACCTGAGGGCACGGGTCTGGCGAAGGAGCGTTCATTGATGGGCGGAGGATCGTAGATGAGGGTGGCGCTGATGTCGCGCGGAAAGTGGGCCTGCAGCCAGTCAATGTGCAGGTCATAGGTGGACATGACGACGCTCCTCAGCCCGCGAGCCGCCGAGGGCGTCGCCGGCAGAAGCAATGAGTCGAAGGTACAGCCCCTCAAGCCGGCGACGGCGTGCTCATTGTAAGAGACTTTGACGGTGCCGTGCCAGAAACGGTCGTCGGGACGGATCGACTCGGTTCGAGAGCCTGTGGGCGCGGTTGTGGGGAGGGACGCGGCTGATGAGGAGGAGGCTGTAGCCTGGCCATCGCTGTGCGAGACCTTGATGGCCTTGTTTTGGGTTTTCTTGTCGTCCTCGGAGCTGGAGGCGTTGCCCTCTGCGCGACGGCGCTTGCGGTTGCGCTCGCGCCTATCGCGCTCCATCTGCGCGCGGTCGAGGGCGACGAGAAAGGACTGCGGGGGCGCCGGGAGGGTCGATGCTGTGGAATCCTTCGACGACGATGCGGTGTTGCTCGACGATGCTGCGGCAGTGGGGGGTTGTGATGCTGTGGTGAGGGTGGGTTTGGCCGTGGTGGTCGGATGGGTGCGCGACGGGGGCGGGTCCCTCTCGGATTCGGATGCAGTTTCGTCGTCGTCCGAGATGACGATGGGATCGTTGGGCGACATTGCGATTTGGGTCAGGGTATAGTGCGGGTGAGCGGGAAGGTTGGGACGGACGACGAGGAAGGCGGAACGAAGGGCGAGCAGGCGGGCGGTGGGGGTTCAAGCAAGAGGCTGGCGGCCAAGGCGAGCGCGTGTTGGTGGGTGCGGGTGCCAGAGACGGGCCAAAGAGGGCGCCTGCTAAAAAGGTGTTGGTGTGGAGGCACAACCAAGCAAGATGGCGCAGCAGACAGCCAGAGAGGCCAGCCAGCCAGCCAGCCAGCCAGCCAGCCAACTTCAGCCGGCCACGCACCCTAGCCTACTCTTTTTCCCGGAAAGAAGAGAAATTCGGAACTCGGAAAGCGCAACTCGCCCGCCCACCCGCCTCCACAGACGGAAAAGTCCAAAGCTCCACCGCCGGGCCACCGGATCCCAGCAGCAGCAGCAGCAGCAGCAGAACCTTTCTTCCCTCCCTCCTCGATCCCGCATCGACCACCATGACCGCCGACCATCGAGGGCAACAAGACCGCCAGCCCGACCACCTGTCGCGCTGGTTCGCGCAGCACGGGATACATCTCCATCCCGATGTCCATGTCAGACGAGGTCAGTGAACCCCACCGCACCGCACCGCACCGCACCGCACCGCACCCATCTGACCCCGCCCAGCCTGGTCCCTAGCTCACCGCTCCCTGCCCTCATTCCCCTTCCATAGACCCACAAACCGGCCTCGGCCTCTACGCCACCGCCCCACTCCCGGAACCAACACAGATACTAAGCGTACCAGCGCGCATGTGCATCTCCTCGCCCAGCGCCCGGTCGGCCATCGGCCGCGTCTTTGGATCCACCGATTCCCCCGCACTGTCCCACGACAAGTGGGCCATCTTCTACATCTTCCTCGTCCGTCTCCTCTTGCTCCACGTCGACAGCGCCGACGGGGCCTCGCATGACGATGCGGCGCATCGAGGCGACCTGCACGACCACATCGGCTACGTGCGTTCCCTGCCTCGATCCGTCCCCATCCCGCTACTCTTCCGACGTCGCGAGCTGGACCTGCTCGCTGCAACGCCGCTCCACGGCGCCACCCTGGACAAGCTCCGCCAGACAGACGAGGAGCACGACACAATCCTCAAATGGCTGCATGGCTGGCGTACCTCCGTCCAGCCCGGCTCGACGGGTAGCGCCATCCTCGACGGCCTTGACCGTCTCGTCGACCGCGCCGCCACGCTGAGCCTGTACCGCTGGTCGAATGCAGTGTCCCTCTCGCGCGCATTCCCACCCACGCTCCTCCCTTCCCTCTCGCCCGACGACGGACCGGTACTCATACCCGCCCTCGACCTGCCCAACCACGCCCGGTCCATGCCCGTCACATGGTCCGCTCAACCCGCATCCCCTCCCTGCACCGGCCCCGACAACGGCGACGCAGGTGATGCCAGAGTGGTGTTCACCACTCGCTACCCCATCGCCGCAACGTCCGAGGTGCTCAACAACTACGGACCCAAGAGCAACGAGGAGCTGCTTGGATCCTACGCCTTTGTCCTACCGGGAGGGCAGGACGATTTCCTCACGCTCAAGCTCGGACAGCGGCAGGGCGACGCCGGCGAGGAGGGGGCGGAGGGTGAGGCCAAGCGGCATCAACTGGAAGCGGGCACGTACCGGTGGCTACGGAGCAGCTCTGCGCCTCCACCCGGCTTGATCGACGAGGTCCGAGCTAGGATCCAACTCGCCGCTCCTGATCCCGCTCCTCGCTCGTCTTCGCCCCCGCAGAAATTCGAAGATGACGAGAGGGAGAGGGAGAGGGAGGTGGAAGAGCTGGAACTCCATGGCGAAACGCTAGAGACGCTCGAGGTGCTGCTGGTGCAGAAACGCAAGTCGTTTCGAACCATCCAGGCCCAGATCGAGGAGATGCTCGTGCGCATTCCACCTCAGGAGACCGGGGAGGAGGAGGAGGGGGAGGCGGATGAGGATGCGCCCGTACGGAGGAAGGTGTGGGATATGGTTGACGTCTATCGACAGGGTACGTCCCTGCCCCGTCTTCCCCCCTTCCGATCTTCGCTGCTCGCCCGCGAATAAAGTATCGACTCCCCATCCTCTCCCTCCTCTGCGATCCCCCCCCCCCCCCCCTCTCAGGTCAACTGACGATCCTCAACCAGGCCATCAAATGGACCCGCTCCCAGCTCGAAATCGTAGCTGACAAACTCGACCAGCTCGACCCTGCTCCCAACTCCGACGACGACGACGACGACGACGACGACGACGACGAGATGCAGGGTGCCTGAGACGCAGCAAGACTTTCTTGGATTATCGCCGACTAGAAGCTAGAAGAGACGGATCTTCGTCGATCAGGAATGAGTAGCAAACGGGGAATCATGGCAGCGGGCGAGAGAGAGAGAGAGAGAGAGAGAGAGAGAGAGAGAGAGAGAGAGGAGAGGAGAGGAGGAGGAGAGAGAGAGAGAGAGACGAGACGAGAGAGGACGGGACGGGACGGACGACGACGTACGTACGACGTACGTACGTACGGTACGGTACGGGTACGGGACCGGTACGGACG